TTTCTACGTCTGAGATTTGATCTTCTGTATGATCTAGACTGCTTTTAACACTTTCAAGGGAGGTTTTGATTCCCTGAATTTCAGCCTTCATCTGTAACAATTCTGTATGATTTTTTTTATGGTGTGTATTTCCTCTTTCAGATCATTCAAGAACATCCTCACCTCCCAGAACTCATTGGCTTTATTTTCCTGTCTCTTCTGGAGTTCATTGTTGCTCTTCTCTTGCATCTCTGTTAACTTTGTCATTATAAATATTCTAAATTCTTTATCAGACATTTCCATGAGTTTCATTGTACTTACTGTGGATGAAGAGGAGTTATTCTTCTCCCTTGGGGGAAAGGTATTATCTTGGTTTCTCATATTTCTTGTGCCTTTGCAGTGATTTCTACTTATCTGATGGGTTATACAATTCTTCCTGATTTCTAGAAATTCAATCTGAGCATTCTGGGGCATGCAGGAGGAGATGATCTGCAATCTCTTTGCCATTCCATTTTTATCCCTTTGTGAAGCAGATTCAGTGGGTATTGAGGAATATGTTGACCCTAATAGTATTTGGATATTTGGCTACAGTTCTCTTAGATCTGTCTAGACATTCAGTGCATGGATACTGAGCAGCAAAGAGATGAGGTAAAGGAAAAGGATAAGAAAAGAGAGAGAGAGCAACCAAAACAACATTTTTAAAAGGCAAACAATGAAAAAGCACTAGTTCTCAGCTGCAATGGAGGAGACTTCCTCTGAAAGCCTGCCCCTTGCTTCTCCTAGAGGGGAGTGGGAAAGAGGATTATTAGCAAGATAAAAGAAGATCTGAAAGACAAGAGAATACCTTTACAAAATTAAGAAAAGACAAATTACAAGAAAAAATGAGAAGACAGGGAGAGGCAGAGAGAGACATTGAGAACAGAGAGAAGGATAGAAGGGGCACCCTATCACTCAAAATGGGGGGGGGCTGGAGGCTGAATTATCAGTAGACAATCTACATTTGTCTTATTCCCTGAAAGCACTAGCTCTCAGCTGCAATCTCAGCATTTCTGAGAACCCCTAATGTTATAAAAAATGGTCTTATTAATAAATGCTATACTTATTCATAGTGCATTCTTCTTATATGCCCTTTATATTTCTTCTTTTATTGAATGCTACTTTGTCTTCCCAGTCACAATCTTTAATTCACTGGAACTCAAGAAATTTGAAAGATCTTGCAAAGTGGAACTGACAACTTTATCACCTTTGGTGTTCCCTTCTTTTTAATTTCTTTAAATTGTTTAATTGAATATACAGTTTTTAGTAAAATAGCTTTTAGGTGTCAATAGCAAGTATGACTTGTCTTTTCTCCATCTCTAAACTCAGCTGAGTCCAGTCTGGGAACAGAGATTGGACAGATATGAGTGACAGAGAATAAATTATACTCTCAATTGAGTCCTCCTCTTCTCTCTCTTTCTTTTTAAAAGTAAATTTTGTTGTGTATATTTGAGGTTTACAACATGAGATTATGGGATGTATACATACACACACACACACACGTATACATATACATATATACACACACACACATAGAGTGTATATTGTTTACTATAACATAACAAGTTAACATATTTATCATCTTACAGAGTTAATTTTTTACTTAACAAAAATCTCTAACACAATATAATTTTATTAAATTAGCCTTCTTGTTGTACATTAGATATCTAGACTTGTTCTTCCTATTTATTTGTTATTTTTGTGTCCTTTGACATACATTTCATCTTATGTCCTCTTCCCTACCATGATGATAACCACTGTTTCATTCTCTATCTTTGGGTACGTGAGCTCTTTTTGTTTCTCGTTCCACAAACAAGTGAGATTATACAGTATTTTTTTTCTGCATCTGGCTCATTTTACTTTTTACAATATCTTCCAGGTCCACCCATGTTGTGGTAAATGGTAATATCTTTTTTTTAAAGGCTCAGTAATATTTGTGTATGTGACATTTTCTTTCTTTATCACTCTGTAAATGATCATTTAGGTTGCTTCCATGTCTTGGCTCTTGTGAATGTTGCAGTGAACATGGGAGAGCAGATATCTTTTTGAAGCCATGCTTTCATCTTTGAGTATGTACCCCAAAGAGGGATGACTGAGTCATATAATAGTCCTATTTTTAATTTCTTTAGGACCCTCTATACTGTTTTCCATAACAACTGTATCAATCTACGTTTCTACCAATAATGTACTACAATTCCCTTTCCTTCCCACACTGGCCATTATTTATTATCCCTTGTCTTTGACAATAGCCCTCATCATGGGCATGAGGCTATATCTCGTCAGTGATTTTAATTTCCATTTCCCTTATAAATCCAAGACCGGAATTCATAAAACTTCTGAAAGAAAAGATAAGTGAAAAGCTCATCAATATTACTTTTGGCAATAACTTTTGCCTATCATATAAAAAATTCAGGCTAGGAAAACAAATGGGACTATATCAAACTAGTAAACTGTGAAGCAAAGAGAACAATAAGATGAAAAGACAACCTAAAAAATTGGAGAAAAATAGTTACAAACCACATATCTGATAAACGGTTAATATCCTACATAAATAACTATTCCTAAACAATAGTAGAAAAACAAATAACCAGATTAAAAAATGGGCGAGGCTCTTACCAGATGTTTCTTCAAAGAAGACATAAAAATAGTCAACAAGTGTGTGTGTGTGTGTGTGTGTGTGTGTGTGTGTGTGTGTGTATTTTTCTTTTTAAAAGTTTTGTCATAGTGTATGTGCACTTGCAAGAGAGAGACAGACAGAGACAGAGAGAGTGAAAGTGAGAAATCATCCCTCAGAAAGGATGGTCGTGCTGTAATCCCTTCTCCTCCATTCTCCTCTAGGGATTTTTGGGTATGCATGCCCACACTCCTGGTGTGATTTTCAAGCAGCCGGGTTTGGAACTGTGGTCAGCCATGTGGGAGTACACCACCTTAACCACTATGTCATCTGCTGTCCCCAGTCAATAAATATATTAAAAAGTACTCAACATCTCTAATCCTAAGGAAAGTACAAAATTAAACCACTACAAAATATCAGATTCTCTTTTGATCAAGGCTTCATAATTAGGTCAAGTTTGTCTTGCTTGGATAATTCTCTCTCGATTAGGAGTTCTTTCTTAGGAGAATCCTTAGTGGGTTAAGCAGTATTGTCCTCAGCTTCTCATCATGCTTGGCAGGATCTCAAGTATGGGGTCTCTCTCCTACTTGCATAATCTCAGTGTTGAATGATTACTTACATTTTTTTAATTTAGTTTAAGCTTTGTATTGTATATAAATGGGTAACATAACTTCTATCTAGACCACCTGAAAGGAAATTTGATTGAATTGTAAAAGCTTTCTAAAAATGTTATGAAAGCTATTGTAAATGAGGAGAAAATGAATGATTGGAGATTTTGGATATGGTCTACTACTTGAACAGGTAATGGCCTTTGACTATTTTGGGGTACTTATTATGATTGGTAAATTTTTCCCCATGATGATAAATCAAAGTACAAGAATGTAAATACATTATGAGTCTGAAAAATAGTTTCAGAAACAGAGCCAGTTTGAACTTACATATTAGAACACCCAGAACGTTTGGAACAGTGTACCCATATGTACAGCAGAGAATAAAAATAGATGGCAATAAGAGAAATTTCTACTCCCAGCTTACATCAGGAGTGGAATAAAGTAAAATTGTTCTTTATAGTTTTCAACACCCCCAAATGACATGTTTCCCCCTCACTCTCCTGGTAAAGGATCCAAACGCATTATACATTTTCTTGAATGCCCACAAAACTCTTCCATAAACCTGTCATCTTTAGACAAAAACTCCCTGCCATGGTGCCATAATTCTATCCTGTACCCTATTAAAAATATCTTTCTGCAAAGTGACATGTTGGAAAGTATTTCAATAAGAAATGAATATTTATACTGTAATGACAGACCATAATTTAGTGTAAAAGAGCTCTGATGGTGGCGTAGGTTAATCGGGTGACATGTGGACAGAACTAATTGCATTCTCACAGTCCATCAAATTGCATGTTAATCAACGTGTTTTCTCCCTCTAAAATGGATATTGCTCAGGACACATTGCAGCTGGACGCTGTATGTTTATATCAGAAAAGTTATATAAGGCATTAAGATTATCGGATTTGGAGTCTGACTCAACAGTTTCCACTAAATGATCTTGGATAAGTCTCCATCATAACAGTAAATAGAATGTGTTAATTATATCTGCTTCCCTGGGTTTAGACAAGAGGAAAAACATGAGATATTGTAGGGTTTAGGTTCTTTGTGAACTATTACACACTGCATTGGAAATAGATCAATACTGAGAATACAGGATTTTATTTCCATAGGTGCTTATGCATTCAGAAATTCCACACTTACTTTATAAAATTATATGTGTATTGAATCTTTTGCACAAACTCCCTCATCTACAAGAATTATCTGTATTTGTATTATAGTTTTTATCAGTAGTCTTGGAGATTTTTTAGTTTATGCCATTGAGGTAGAATTTCAGGGTGCTAGATATAAAGAGAAAAAATATCCTGATGTATTTTAAAACCTTTGTACTCTAATTGGCCTAGGATTTCTTTCCTTTGGTCAAAAAATTTGATTTTAAATCACTTGGATATAAGTGAGTTTATTCTATGCACATAAATGTTGTGATGACAAAGAAAACTCCCAAAGCACATTTCTGTAGGATAGTGATGTCTTAAGGAAATGACAATAATATGCATTTTCTTAAGATGGAAATCAAACATTTTTTTAAATAATTATTTCATTTCATTTTATTTATTCGTTACTTTTTTTTTTTTTTTTAATTTGACCAGAGAGACAGAGAGAGAGAGAGAGAGAGAGAGAGAGAAAGCAAACCACTGAGTCCGGGACTCAAAACATGGTCAGCCACGTGGGAGTGTCCAGTGCTTTAACCACCAAGCCACCTGCTGGTCCCCTGCAAATCAAATATTTTTAACCATAACAATTTTTATTGTTATTTCTAGATGGGGTACACTGAGAGGATCACAAGGGAGGAGAGAAAAATTTTGGGTAAGTCCAATTCCCACTGTAAAGTGAATATTTTATAATCTTCGGCTTCTCTGCTCCTAGTTTTGTATCATTCCCTCACATCCTAAGTCACTATAATGTTGTTCACAGCACAAAACTAATAATAATTTCTATTATACTACTGGTTAACCCCATCTTCTATTATTTCCAATTGTAAGCAAAGAATCAGTATTTCGTTTCCAAACAGAAAAACAACAGAACAACTCCTTGTTCTATTATCAGCTGTATTAAACTTAGAGTAATGCTTAGACATCCTTTGTAGTGCATATATACCATCCAACTTGATGTCTTTGTTATGTTAATATCATCTATTATATAGTTCCTAGAGATTAGAGTTATTTTTTTCCCAATTATAAAAGTGTCTTTACTGACTTTCATAGTCTCAAACATAATAAAGAATTACAGGTAAGAAGATTGGAACGTATTACCACAAATATATAGTTGATTATAAAGAATTATGTCAATTATCTGAAATCCTTAGATGATATACTTTTTTTTTAACAGAAATTGAATAAAGTATGATGATATTTATCATGGAATTTGAATTTAAATGTACATAGTTCATGGCATAGCATACCTTAAAAAACACTAAATACTAGGGCTTGTACTCTCAAGAGTGACTATTGGTAGATTTCTTCATAAGGCATTCACAAATATTAATCACCAGTATGACAGCTCTTTTAGAAATTGTCGAGCACCTACACACACACACACACACACACACACACAATCATCCATGTTGTCATACTTCATTTTGTTGATACATGGAGGTATGATTTTAAGCAGAAAGATTTTTCTTTTTATTTAAACTGAGCCTTTTTTTAAGAGACAGATTTTTGCTATAGGGTGCATGCACTTGCTAGAGAGACAGAGAGAAAGAGAGAAATGTCCTCCAGGGAAGATGGCTATGCTGCAATCCCTTATCCTCCATTCTCCTCTTGGGATCTTAGGCATGCATGCACACGTGTCCAGTGTGAATTTTAAGCCGCTAGATCCAGGACTTGAACCATGGTCTACTGCATGGGAGTCCAGCAACATAACCATTTTGTCATCTGCTGGTCCTTAAACTGAGATTTTAATTTATTATTATTATTATTATTATTACTATTATTGAAGAGGTTTTTGCTATATGGCCCATATGCTCGCCAGAAAGAGAGAGACACAGAGACAGAAAGTGAGAAATCACCCCCACGGGGATGGCCATTCCACAATCCCTTCTCCTCCATTCTCCTCTTGAGGTATTGGGTACTCACACACACACGCCTGGCCTGAGTTTAAGCCACTGGGTCCAGGACACAAACTGCAGTCGACTAAATGGGAGTCCAGTGACATAGCCATTATGCCAACTGCTAGTCCCTAAACTGAGATTTTAAAATACTATTTTACACATTAATGTAAAACTTGAAGTAGCAGGCTATTAACATAAATATCCAATAGTCAAAATACATGACGAAAAAGGATATGTTACTTGAATTCTTATAATTAAGATTTGTATGTTGAGATTTTTATTAAATGTATTTGAACAATTATTAAATCTCATAAAATATAATATTTAGAGACAAGTAAGTTCTTTGATTGATATATGTAACTCATAACCCTCAAAAGCTCTTTGTTCCATGAATATTAACGAACATGCAGGGGAAAAATTTTTTTGATCCTTTTATTGTCAAGTGATCACACATACATGCTCATACACACATTCATTCTACATATTTTCCACAGGCATACACACACTTTTAACTGATTTTGTTATACTTACTATGAATTCTGAACTTACTACCTATCAGAAATTTTTGAAGAAGACTTTATTTCATAGATGGTAGAGTACGACTTGTTTCTGTTTGAATTCTTTAGGATAAAGCTTTGAGTGGAGGTGGTGGGAATATAGGAATCAGACTGAAATTTATAATGTTTTATTAAATTGCACATTTTGGTTAGCTTTTTTCCTCCACTAAACCGTATACGCATCTTGGGTCAGGGTAATATTCCCCTTGTTTACCAGTGTATCCCAAGAGCAAATTATAGTTCCCTCTGGTACATTGTGGGAATATGGACAATATTCATTGATTGAGTTAATAATTTTGATCTATGCATTCAGGAAAAAGCTAGTCAAGTCACAGAATAATTTTTATTTTGTAAAGCTTAATAGTGATTTAATTATAATATGACATGTTCAAGTATTGTTATGCTGTGTAAAAATTGTAAAAGGCTTGAGGTGTCCTTCCACATGTAGTGGTTATGTCTATGTGTGTACATAGATTTGATTTGAACAAAAAGTCAACCAAAATTGTAGTTCTTTGTTTCTGACATATACACAGATTTATGCATACATATAGCAACTGGGTCAGAAGCAACGGATTCTTACCTGATCCAGTGAAATCAACAGCCAGAGTAACATTGCAGTGTTGCAACATGGGTCACCCACTCATTAATCTTGCAGGTGGTGGGATAAGAACCAATGGAGTTTTTCTACACAGGTAGAAGTTTGCCTAAGTGAGGGGCATAGAACAATGCTTTTTTTTCCATTTATGTACAAGAGAAAAGCAGATTCTTCCTTTCCTAAAAGGAAAAAAAAAAACCTTATATTTCATTAAAATGAGATAGAATGAATCCTGTGTTGTCACTTGAACCTTCATGATTATAAGTAGCTGTGCAATAGCCAGAAAAATACCAGGTACTATCTCCCGCTACATTGCTTGATATGTTAATACTGGGGGAGGTAATATTTCAATACTTTTGGCATCTTGAGGCTTAATTTAGGAGCTTGTCTATAAATCTAACTCTGGTCTTTTTAGGGGGAGATAAGAGAAGCTTTATTATCCTTTTAAATTAGATAAATGACTTCAGGCCTAATTCTCATGGTATGTGAAGAGCAAGTTATTTTGGATATATGTAACTCATAACCCTCAAAAGCTCTTTGTTCCATGAATATTAACGAACATGCAGGGGAAAAATTTTTTTGATCCTTTTATTGTCAAGTGATCACACATACATGCTCATACACACATTCATTCTACATATTTTCCACAGGCATACACACACTTTTAACTGATTTTGTTATACTTACTATGAATTCTGAACTTACTACCTATCAGAAATTTTTGAAGAAGACTTTATTTCATAGATGGTAGAGTACGACTTGTTTCTGTTTGAATTCTTTAGGATAAAGCTTTGAGTGGAGGTGGTGGGAATATAGGAATCAGACTGAAATTTATAATGTTTTATTAAATTGCACATTTTGGTTAGCTTTTTTCCTCCACTAAACCGTATACGCATCTTGGGTCAGGGTAATATTCCCCTTGTTTACCAGTGTATCCCAAGAGCAAATTATAGTTCCCTCTGGTACATTGTGGGAATATGGACAATATTCATTGATTGAGTTAATAATTTTGATCTATGCATTCAGGAAAAAGCTAGTCAAGTCACAGAATAATTTTTATTTTGTAAAGCTTAATAGTGATTTAATTATAATATGACATGTTCAAGTATTGTTATGCTGTGTAAAAATTGTAAAAGGCTTGAGGTGTCCTTCCACATGTAGTGGTTATGTCTATGTGTGTACATAGATTTGATTTGAACAAAAAGTCAACCAAAATTGTAGTTCTTTGTTTCTGACATATACACAGATTTATGCATACATATAGCAACTGGGTCAGAAGCAACGGATTCTTACCTGATCCAGTGAAATCAACAGCCAGAGTAACATTGCAGTGTTGCAACATGGGTCACCCACTCATTAATCTTGCAGGTGGTGGGATAAGAACCAATGGAGTTTTTCTACACAGGTAGAAGTTTGCCTAAGTGAGGGGCATAGAACAATGCTTTTTTTTCCATTTATGTACAAGAGAAAAGCAGATTCTTCCTTTCCTAAAAGGAAAAAAAAAAACCTTATATTTCATTAAAATGAGATAGAATGAATCCTGTGTTGTCACTTGAACCTTCATGATTATAAGTAGCTGTGCAATAGCCAGAAAAATACCAGGTACTATCTCCCGCTACATTGCTTGATATGTTAATACTGGGGGAGGTAATATTTCAATACTTTTGGCATCTTGAGGCTTAATTTAGGAGCTTGTCTATAAATCTAACTCTGGTCTTTTTAGGGGGAGATAAGAGAAGCTTTATTATCCTTTTAAATTAGATAAATGACTTCAGGCCTAATTCTCATGGTATGTGAAGAGCAAGTTATTTTGGAAAAAATTGAAAGCAAACATTCTCTCTCATTATATTATACACACCTTTGGTGGTTTTAATTTTTTTTAATTATTATTATTTTTTTTAGTGTACATGCACTTGCCAAAGAGACAGAAGAGGGAATGGCCATGCCACAATCCCTTTTCCTCCAATCTCTTCTTGGGCACACACAGACACACACACACACACACACACACACACACATACACACACACTGGGCTTGAGTTTAAAGCCCCTGGATTTGAACCATGGTTGCCCACATAGTAATCTAGCAATGTAAACACGGTGCCAGCTGATAGTCCCACACTTTTTTATGCTTCAGTAGCACTAAGAAGTCTAGGGGAGTTTTATGTCCCATGAATTGTATATGGGTATACAAATAGGCCTATAGCATAGGCCTATTTTTATAATAAAAAATAATTAAGTGGCTTCCAGTACAAAGTAAAATGTAATAGATTTTACTAGGAATTAGCAGCTAGGAATTCTAATAATTAGATAGAAAGTATAAACGTATTTCCCCAAACTTGCATTTTTAAAGAATGAGAGCACTGAATCTAGAGGTTTTCTGTTCAGTGAGCATTTAGTGGGTCTGGTCTGGGCACATACTGAGGATTGGGTCTGTATAAGAGCCATAAAGATTTCTAGTAGAAAGAAATCCAGGTAAAGAAGATGAATATGTGTTTAACCTTGATTTAATTCTTATATACTACATGCATGCTTTACAAAACCATATTGTGCCCCACAAAGATATACATCAAACATATATAAAAAGGAAATCAAAATTTAAG